ACATAAACAAATTAAAAAACGAAGACTATATGATTCTCTCAATTGATGCAGAAAAAGCTTTTGATAATATCCAGCATCCCTTCATGATCAGAACACTTAAGAAAATTGGTATAGAAGGGATATTTCTTAAAGTGATAGAAGCCATCTGCAGCAAACCTACAGCCAATATTGTATTGAATGGAGTTACATTGAATCATTTCCACTTGGATCAAGAATGAGGCAAGGTTGCCCATTGTCTCCGCTGCTCTTTAACATCATAATGGAAGTTTTAGCCATCCCAATTAGAGAAGAAAAGGCAATCAAGGGCATCCATATGGGGTCAGAACAGATTAAACTTTCACTCTTTGCAGATGATATGATTGTATATCTGGAAGATACCAGGGATTCTACTATTAAACTCTTAGAAGTGATCAAGGAATACAGCAGCACCTCAGGTTACAAAATCAACACTCATAAATCAGTAGCTTTTATATAAACCAACAGTAGCCAAGCTGAAAAAGCAGTCAAGGACTCTATTCCATTCATAGTAGTGCCAAAGAAGATGAAATATTTGGGACTTTACCCAACAAAGGACGTGAAAGATCTCTATAAAGAAAACTATGAAATTCTAAGAAAAGAAATAGCTGAAGATGTTAACAAATGGAAAAACATACCATGCTCATGGCTGGGAAGAATCAACATTGTTAAAATATCCATACTACCCAAAGCAATATGTAATTTTAATGCAATCCCTATTAAAGCCCCACTGTCATACTTTAAAGATCTAGAAGAAATAATACTTCATTTTATATGGAATCAGAAAAAACCTCGAATAGCCAAGACATTACTCAGAAATAAAAATAATGCAGGAGGAATCATGTTACCAGACCTCAAACTATACTATAAATCCATAGTGATCAAAACAGGATGGTACTGGCACAAAAACAGAGAGGTAGATGTATGGAACAGAATAGAGAGCCAAGAGATGAATCCAGCGACCTACCATTACATGATCTTTGACAAGCCAATTAAAAACATTGAGTGGGGAAAAGATTCCCTATTTAATAAACGGTGCTGGGCTAACTGGTTGGTGACTTGTAAAAGACTGAAACTAGACCCACACCTTTCACCATTAACTAAGATAGATTCTCACTGGATTAAAGATTCAAACTTGAGACATGAAACTATAAAAATACTAGAAGAAAGTGTAGGGAAAACACTTGAAGAAATCAGCCTGGGCAAAAATTTTATGAGGAGGACCCCTCAGGCAATTGAAGCAACATCAAAAATACACTACTGGGACCTGATGAAACTAAGAAGCTTCTGCACAGCAAAGAACACAGTACATAAAGCAAGCAGACAGCCCTCAGAATGGGAGAAGATATTTGCTGGTTATGTCTCCAAAAAGGTTTAATAACCAGAATCCACAGAGAATGTATTAGCAAGAAAAAAACAAGTGATCCTATCTCAGGGTGGGCAAGGGACTTGAAAAGAAACTTCTCTAATGAAGATAGGTACATGGCCTACAGATATATGAAAAAATGTTCACCATCCTTAATCATCAGAGAAATGCAAATCAAAACTACATGGAGATATCAACTAACTATGGTAAGATTAGCCTATATCACAAAATCCCAAAACCAGAGATGTTGGCATGGATGTGGAGGAAAGGGAACACTTCTACACTGCTGGTGGGAATGCAGACTAATTCATTCCTTTTGGAAAGACATCTGGAGAACACTTACAGAACTAAAAATAGACCGGCCATTTTATCCTACAACTTCTTTATTAGGTTGTATAGGTTAGGTTCCTCTATATCCAGAAGACCAAAAATCACATTACAACAAAGATATTTGTATCAGAATGTTTATTGCAGCCCAATTCATAATTGCTAGGTCATGGAAGAAGCCCA